GGTATTGGTATTATTGTTATTATTGGTATTGGCAGGGGAGAAAAAGGGCGAGGAGGAAGAGGTATGCGGTCTGTTGGAGGAGGTCGACATGGTGCGTATGGACGGGCTGGGCCGCAGATGGGCGCGGCGGTGCATCTGCTGCAGGAGATGCGAGTTGACGGTCTCGGTCATGCGGTCGAAGTAGACGAGCAGGCTGATGAAGACCTCGTAGGTGGTCGGGCAGTACTTGTGGATGCGGCTGAGGTAGTTGAGGATGGTGATGCCGGGCACATTCTTGCCGTGGAAGGCCAGCACGCTGGTTGTCTGCGGCGGCAGCGAGCGCTGCTCGGCCCTGGGGATGTGCCGGTGCAGGTGTTCGTGCTGGCGGTCGTTGGTCGTGGTGATCTTGGTGAGCAGGCCGGCCACCATCTCGATCACGTCGGCCACGGGCATCGAGCTGATCTCGTACTGGCGCTGCAGGCCGCCGGGCCGGTGCTGCGACGACCCGGCGGCCTCCTCGCTGGCAAACGACTGGATGTGCGAGAGATCCCGGACTTTTATGCGGGTGGATGTAGATGCTGTAGATGTTGTTGTTGTTGTTGTTGTTGTTGTAGCAGAAGCAGACGGTGTAGGCGAGCCCTGGGCCGGCCGAAAGGCGGGGCTGGGAGGCAGCAGGCAGCTCATGGCCGTTCATCCGCTGCCTGTCGGGCAGACGCTGGTGTATGATGGACGGAGCGGCCGCCGTCGAGCTGGGCAGGCTGGTCGTCGAGGCATGCGGGTGTTGTTGTTGCTGATGGTGATGGGAGATGGAGGGCCGGCGCAGACTCTGCGGTCTCTCGCGAGGCCGTCGTCGTCGTCGCCGCCGCCGCAGCCACCGAGCCAGCCTTCTGCGGACGACGATGCCGCCCGTCTCCAGCTCGCGCTTGAGGCCGGCAGAGAGCATGCTGCCGGCGCTGCTGGAAGGCCCTGCGGTGCTGCTGGCCGCCGGACGAGCTGGCGATCAAGGGTGGTTGCAACGGGGCGCAGGCAACGGCGCCCATGTCAGC